CATTTTCAGGGTGATAGATGTCACTCTGAATGATTTGGAAGCTTGTGAAGGATTTTGAGCAGAGGTAAAATGATTTTCACTACTTTTCGTTTGTCATTCTTTTGACATTCTGCCCGCATTCCTTCAGACAGACATCGGCATCTCTTATTCCAGACCCTGTGTCTTAGTTACTCTTTTAGAATTTTTTATCTTTGTCCCTCTGGGCTGCAATTTGAGAAGTTTCTCAGTGCTATCTTCCCATTCATTAATTCCTTCTTTGTCAATTACTGGATTCATCTAAATTTTTGAGTGTGTTTCATTATTTTAAGAAGTTTGAATTGTTTTCTATGTACTCATTCTTTTTATTTTCCTATTTTTCTATCACAATTTATTATTCCCTTTAAAGAAATTTTTTTTTCATATCTCTCTGAATATTCCAAATTATTTTTATAAAATTTTAGGCAGAATATTGTTTGAATATTACTCACTCAAAGGGGATTATTATTCCCACTGTGATTTTTTTGCAGCCATATTTAGCACGCATTTTCTTCCCATGGTATGCAGCCTCCCTCCAGAGTGGAATGATTTTATCTTCTGTCTTTTCTCTTTTGTGCTCATCTCCTCTTTGTCCAGTGGTATTCTTTGTTGTCTTCATCTAGCCCTCTGGATCCATAGTCTGGAATCAGGCGTTTTGATGTGTTGTTCCTCGTGCTTTGTTGTGATGCTGGAAATAATAAATATCCAGTCTGAGAGTCCGTTCCTGAGTGTGGGGCGAGGCTTTGTAAACCAGCTTTGCTGATTCCACCATGTATAAAGTCTTGGGTCTAGGGTGAAAGGAACTTATTAGCATTTTCTTAAGAGTAATGAGGAGAAGGAACTACTTCCATCTCGCTTCAAGCAGCGAGACTGGATCCTGCCCCTTGTCTAGCATAGATGTTTTAGTCTTCCTTCCTTGCAGTCATTTCTACCTGTTTCCTAATCATAGATCCTACAGGTTCTGGGATTTAGCCACGTTCCCTGCTTTGTGTTTCTGTTCCAACTATAGCCCATAATGATGTTTCTGTTTTTAAGCCTATGCATATAGTTGAATTTTTCTTTTCTTAGAGTTCTCAATAGTTATTTTGGAGGAAAAGTAAGATGTCACAGTATGAAGTTAATTCACCGTCTTGACTGGAATTTTCAAATTGATTTTCAGTTAGAAATTGAGAATGCTATTTGTGTCAGTAGGTTTTGTAACCACTGCCAAATCAATTAACTAGTCATAATTTTCTTACCTGGATATCTTAGTCTGCTTGGACTGCCATAACAATATGCCATGAACTGAGTGGCTTAAAGCACAGATGTTTATTTCTAACAGTTTTGGGCACTGGGAAGTCCAAGTTTCAGGTGTTGGCAGATTTGGCTTTTGGCAAGGGCCCTCTTACTGGCTTGCAGATGGCCACTTGAAGAAGGCATTGTGGCTCATGTGACCTCCTCTTTGTGCCAGTTTCAGAGAGAGAGAGAGAGAGAGTTTAGAGAGAGAGAGAGAGAGAGAGAGAGAGAGAGAGTGTGTGTGTGTGTGTGTGTGTGAGAGAGAGAGAGAGAGAGAGAGAGAAAGAGAGAACCTCTAATGTCTCTTCTTCTTATAAGGACATTAATCACATCATGAGGGCACCACCCTCATGATCTCATCCAAACCTAATTACTTCCCAAAGGCTCCACCACAAATACCATCATACTGGGAGTTAGGGCTTCAGTGAATACATTAATTTTGGGGTGACAAAAATATGCAGTCCATCACACTAGATCAAATACTACATTATTGTTTCCCAGTTTGCTTCATAATCATGGTTCATGCAATTTCAATAGGATATTGATGAAGAATGCCTCACCTAAATTAGTTTGGGAACTCTGAGTTAAACCAGATCAAATAGATTTTTTCATTGAAGTTCTTCTCAATAAGATGCTGCCTTAAACATGCACATATATATTGTGAATTACCTACAAGGAGATTAAATATGCATAATCTCTTAAACTCATCTGAATATGGTATTTTTTTCATGCCATGCTTACTAATATCTCCCAGAAAAGTATTTCAAGGAAGACAATTTATAGAATGCTAATACTAATCAAAGAAAAATGTGTATGTATGTAAATACATATGAAATTACATGTATGTATAAATTTGTTTGTATATATATATATTTTTCTGAGTACCTCGAAAAAATATCGTTTTATACAGACTGTCCTTGACTTATGATTGTTTGACTTGTGACTTTTTTGACTTTACAGTGACAAAATGATACACATTTAATAGAAATACTACTTCAGGTACTGATACAAGCCTTCTATTTTTCACTTTCAGTGGAGTATTCAATAAATTACATGAGATATTCAACACTTTCTTACAAAATTGGCTTTGGATTACATGATTTTGCTCAACTGTAGGCTAATTAACCATTCTGAGCACATTTGAGGTAGGCTAAACTATGATTAATAGACTAGGTGTATTAAATGCATTTTTCACTTACAATATTTTTAACTTATGATGGGTGTATCAGACTGTACCCCATTGTAAGTCAAGGAACATCTGAATATACATACATACATACATATATACATACATACGTGTGTGTGTGTGTGTGTGTGTTATACTATTGTGTCATACAGGTAATCAGCACCAACAAATAGCATAATACTATGAATAAGAAAGTCATTAAAAAGTTTTTTTTTAACCAAGTGGAAAGTTGGAATTAGAGAATAATAGAATATTAGAATGAAGGTTTTTTCATGTAGAATTGAGTGCTTTTCAATTTCTTAAAGCTTTTCTCAAACTACATTTTGTATAAAATTTCTCTCTGTGTGTCTATGTAACAGAGTTGTGCTGTTTGCAGTGGCTGAAGAAATGGAGCCTCCACCCTTCTTTCTTGAGTTAACCCTAAGGCCCTCTAGGAACCTCTAAGGCACTGCATGCCTGGCTTGAGTTTCACCATTTGATGCCTCATTTTAACAGCAGAGGAGTCAGATACTACAAAGTTGAAGTATCTCTCAATGTCTACTAGCTAATTGGGGCCAGCAGCAGGACTAGAATCCAGATTTTCTATGTTGGGAGTTCATTCCCCCTCACACTGGTTTTCCATCTTTTCCAAATCTCCAAATCATTTTGTTAAATGAAATCTTGTGCAGAAATTCAACATGTGAAACAGAGGTAAAGTAGAGCTTTTCTGGTTGAAGGAGGAGGATTAAGGGTATCAAGAGGAAGGGTCGAGGGCCTTGTGTGCCACCTGCCAGCCCCCGCTCATTGGCCCTTAGTGGTTCAGAGACATACTGTTTAAAAATGATATATTAAACCAGGCGGAAACAATACATTCAGGCCTTTAAACAGGGATGACACCATTAGTACACTTCATAAAAGGGAATATTCCGATACTCTTATCCCTTATCAGAGATCATGGCTCAACAGCTAGAAGAATTAACACTTTTTTTTCATTTAGCAAAGAGATTGTCCTTTGTGAAAGAACAAAATGGCAAAATTTGCCTTTATTTTAAAAGAAAAGACTAAACAGTTTCTCTAAACCTTACCAAATGAGCTGGCATTAGTTGCCAAATCAGAAGCAGAAAGAATCCAGCATCAGGGCCCCAGGGCACAAACTTCTAGAGTTCTGATCATAACAGCAGTGATTCAGGTTTGTGAATCAGCCCCATTCTCTGGTTTCCATTAATGACAACAGACTTTCAGGAGAAAGGCAGTGACATTGTTCAGAACAGCGTCTCTCATTTGGGTTCTCAGCTGTATGATGAAAGCATATGTAAATATTTCTCATCAGTAGCAAAATCATGCTTTTGTCCTTATCAAGTTCTGCCAAATTATCCACACTAAGTTGAACATGAGCAACACATAACATTCTGTTGATTTTCTGCCTTCTGTTACTCCTATTTGGAGAGAGAATATGAGCTTAGAAATCTAATTATGCTGCACTGACCAAGTGAGATGAGAGAGGTACTCCAGAGCAAGGACTTTTCCTTAAAACTCAGCTCCAAGATAGGCAATGGGACACTAACTCCTGCTGGAGGATGGATTTTGCCCTGGCCTGCTGAGGGGTTTCATGGCGATTTTTAAGAATCTTTTCTTCTAAGAAGATTAAGCAGTAAACATTAAGATTTAGTTATTAGAAGTTACATTCAGAGAGAGAGAGAGAGAGGGAGAGACAGACAGAGACAGAGAGACAGACACACAGAGAGAGAGTCTAAGAATAATTAAATACCTCTGTAGGGTTTTGTTTTACTTTCGCTTTTATCTAGAATTTTTAATTAGAAGACCTGCATTTAAAGCTATTCCACTTCTTGTTTAATATTCTACTAAGTTATTCTGTAGAACTTTGAGGTACTTTTTGATGTTTACAAAAATGGCTCTCACTAGACTCTCATCTCCATGCCTTCCGTTGTTTAGAAGTTGTGGGCAACTAGATCTATTAGTCATTAATTGACGGATTGGTTATTTATTTTGAAAAATATATGGGACACATACTGTGCATCAGACATTGTACTAGTGTCTGGGGCAGAGCAGTGAACAAGAGAGACACAGTCCCTGCTTTCAACGAGCTTTAAGTCTATTTATAAAACTGTATTCTATTAATTCACATTTATTAGTACATGCAACTTTAACCTCTTTAGTACTTTGAAGCAAAGATATTTTTTTCTCACAAATTCTTGAAACCTGCAAGACACACGATATGCAATGAGAGCATTAGGAGTTGAGTAATAATGCCTTTAGAGGTATCAATTGCTGCAGGAGACGATGCCACTCGAAGGAAGAGCAATGAGGATAGAGAATCACCACCCAAGAATCAGAAATTCATTTGTATTTATTTCTGGAATGCATATGAAACTATTTTTAAAGGTAGTAGCTTGTTCTCATTAGGGACATATGCTTTACTTTATTGAATATTAATTATATTTTGATTAGGCTATATGTAGTCACTCCAGAAGCCAATGTTGAGTATTGGGAAAATCTATCTAAAACTCAGAAGATGAAGTTTTACTTTTTTTTTTTAAAGAGGGAGCATGATAGTAGAACTGGACCCTTTCTTATTACATGTAGAGGACTGTATGTTAGACCCACCAGTGATGGCACCAGGCCCTGTGTCCCTCCTAAGTAAAACTTCTTTGTTCATAGCTCATAGGGCAGGTATACCATGTGACCTCATAGTCTTCCCTATCCAAATCCAGAGATTCGCCAATTACCTACAATGTGTCCTGGTACAAAAAGATATTCAGGCCAATCAGACTTTTTTCATGTAGACCAAATTAGGAACTCAGAAAGAAATGGGAGGTATGTCAAAGGACATATAGAGAACATTCACAATATATGCTTGGGGTCATAAGTCAAGGTCAAGTTGGAGTTGGGCAAAAGCAGAAAATATTAAAGGAGAAACAAGAAAATATATGGAGGTAAAAGGGAGAAAACCTCAGGAAACTGGTGATGGGCAGGAAAAGGCAAGCAGAAATATTAGCGACATATCACTGTAGGGCAGCCAAGAAGTCTGGAAACAGATAGTATTTTATTGTACATTTTAATGCAGTATCAGTGAAGTATTTATTATGCGTTGGTTACATTTACAGACTTGAAATTCAGCCTGTAGGTGGAAATTCAGTAGCCTGGCTCTGCTGTGGATCCCACTCAAGTTGTCTGACTTTTCCTGTATTCCAGTGCATTTGTATTCACTGTATACCATCTTGCCATCCCCAATATTTCTGGGGATAACTAAAGTGAATCTTTTTTGCTAGCAACCAGAAGATGCTAACTGAACTAGACTCTTTGAGGGTGAAGCACATTTTCTAACATAGGTTTATATACTATTTTTGGCTGGGGAGATTTTTCGTGTGTGTGTCTTACCTTTTCTGTAATCTATGCTCCTGAGACTTCTGAAAACTTACATTTGTCTTAAGTGCTGTGCATCTATCAGTGCTTTTCTTTGTGTAAATATTTCTACCATGATGTAAACTGCAGTGTTTGATTAAAGCCCATTGATTTGTCTTGCAGAACAGAAAACAAACCATTCAGTTTACTTCAGTCAAATCTAATGCTAACTCTAATACCATGCTTGCCAAAACTTCCATTAAAGACATATGCCTTGACTCATTGATTCCAATAATAGGGAAAAGCACCATTCCCCAGCAGCTGGAGATTTGATATTGCTTTTGAGGGAAAAAAAAAAACCTGCCAAAATATTTATATAGCTTGAGAACTCTAGAAGCCTCTTAGTAGCAGGCAGGATTCTATGATCTCTAGTAGCACAGAAATTGCTAGTTCTTGAGGAAGTCTAAATTGGCTCATAGTAAGAACATGGATGAGACAAGTAACAGAATAAAAGTTAAAGTAATAATGTTGGGAATCACAGACATCTAGAAGAGACACGCAGACACACAAAAAAACAAATCTCAGACTAAGAATAGTATCATCATTAAACCCAAACTTAATACTTAGTGTCTCAGTAACCGAGGCAAGAGGGAAACTAGATGATGATTAGTTCTTATTATCTAACTACAAGATGTACCACATTTTACCTCGCTAAACAAAACCTTAATCTTTTCCTGGTCCATTGATTAGAGGTGAATATATTAGGATGTCCTTATGTATGATTAGAAGTGAATGTATTATGATGTCCTTATGTATTATGACAGCATTGAATATTATGAACTTCAACCTACGTGTTAGTAACCATATCTATAAATACAGTCAACAGATAATTATATACTAAATGGTGTTTTCCTTTTTACTAAAAGTTCTTACAGATTACATGTTCAGTGTTTTTATTTTTATTTTTTTACCTCAGCCTTGAGGACAGTCAAAAACTTTAAATGATAATTATGTAAAGACAAGTTTACAGAGGCCCGGGGTAGACAGTGAGCGATATTTTCAAGATACATACCTGTCATGTATGCACAGGATGAAACATTGATCCCAGGCCTTGCTTGCACTCCCAGATTTAACTTTGACATTCTCACATAAGCTTCTACCATTCATTTCTATTGAACCATCTGTAGCTGCCTGGAAAATTTTATGTTGCCATTTGCTTTCTTGCCCTTTCATTTACCCTGCCTTTATCTGGAACACCTTGATAGCTATTCAATTTTGTGTAACTTTTTCTTATTTTAACTCTAGCACTGCCTACTGCCTAGGAGGACAAGGAGCATGGTGCTGGGTACATACAGGCACCAGAACATTCCTGAGGACTCACACCACAGGGAAAGGTAAGCCACTTGCTTCTTGTGCCACCTACTCGCAATTTTAGGAAAAGGCATATCAATTAGTGGATTTACTTTAACATTAAACTAAATAGAACATTTTGTCTCTTTCTTCTGCTAAACAGTATCTTGGGCTTAAGAGAAAGGTATTTAAAGAAAATCAACAAATTAAATTTTCTATGTATTTCTGAGTGGTAACATGACAAATTTTGTGACCTTGCTACATGCTCAGTAAGGAAAAATATTTTAAAAATACACTTTGGTTATAGAAGATATTTGCCAGGATATATTCATAAAAAGTTTCATAAACCTTGGATGCCAGGTCGCAGACAAACTTCTAACAAGCACTTTTTCCTTCTCAGGGCTTTGAACACACTGCTCTTCATCCCACTCCTATGTGATATTGTCTTTGTGATCTCCATTATTAGATTTTGCTTCTTCAAGGAAGATATCCAAGAGCCCAAGTAATTTCTGGGAACCAGCGTTTTACCCTTGACCTCCTGCTTTTTATCCTACTGGTCCTTGCCAGAAGTAGCTAGTTGCCTGGTATAAGAAAACAATCATAATTATCTCATTAATATTTGGGCCTGGCCTTTCTGCTAATCAGGTTTGTACTGCTGAGAGTTCAAAGGAGGAGAACAGAAAGCTACTAAGAAGAAATAAATTGTTTCTCAGGCTATAAATAATTCTAGGAGGCTGCCCAGGGACAAAAATTTGCCTGCTGGTAAAATAAAAGACCATGGAAACTATACATTTATTTGGAGACTGTAGTTCTATGAATTAACTGGCCCAGACTCTGGGCCTCTGGAAGGTAGAGACCATGCTCTCAGTCTTGCCTTTAGTATTTTGTCTGTGACAGGCTATCAGATTTGTTGATTGTGTCAAAGATAAGCAAATTCTGAAATGAAGGTTTTTTATTTGTTTTTGCCTTTTGAGACAGAGTCTTGCTCTGTTGCCAGGCTAGAGTGCAGTGGAGCGATCTTGGCTCACTGCAACCTCTGACTCCCTGGTTTAAGAGATTCTCCTGCCTCAGCCTCCTGAGTAGCTGGGATTACAGGCACATGCCACCACTCCCAGCTAACTTTTGTATTTTTAGTAGAGATGGAGTTTCACCATGTTGGCCAGGATGGTCTCAATCTCTTGACCTCGTGATTCACCTGCCTCAGCCTCCGAAAGTGCTTGAAATACAGGTGTGAGCCGCCATGCCTGGCTTGAAATGAGTAATTTTTTTCATTCTCTATTCTCTCTGAATTCACTTAGTGCTTCTCAGAATGTGTCTGAGTGTAAAGGGATTTGCACTGGATATGTCCAGACAGATTGTAACTTTGGAGGTAAAGTCCGTCTATCACTCAATGTACTTCATTATTATTTGTGTCCATTTCTTTCTTTGTTCCCTTGTTTAGTTATTTATGTAATTGGTCACAAAACAGACATGCTTGCTGAATGCTGAAATGTGGTGGTTGACACTTATAAATTATTCCAGGTTATATATGAGACTATAATAGTTAAAAGTGATTTAGATAATAAAGTGATCTGTAATGGAAGTAAATGAGAGCTGGGTGCTGTAGCTCACATCTTCTACTCCCAGCACTTTGGGAGGATGAATCAGTGGGATCACTTGGGCCCAGGAGTTTAAGACTAGCATGGCAACATAGCTAGACCTTGTCTCTACAAAAAATACTAAATTAACCAAGTGTGTGATGCACACCTATTGTCCCAGCTACACAGGAGGCTGAGGTGTGAGGATCACTTGAGCTCCAGATGTTGAGGCTGCAGTGAGCCATAGTCATGCTATTGCACTCCAGTCTTGGTGACAGAGGGAGACCATATCTCAAAAAAAGGATAAGTAAATGAAAACTTAGAGAAATAATAGTTGCAGTTTCCAGACCAAAGCCTGTAATTCTGATCACTATGACCTGGAAATATTTTCTAGAACTACTGTGACTTGTGCCATTGCTCTATAAAATACAAGCCAGCTCCAAAAGGAAGTTTTTCCCCCACTGCATATAATACTATTAGACAGATGATATTGTATACATGTTCATAATGATAATTTAAAAAAATTAGCACAGCAAATATTAACTGAGCATGATCTTCACGTCCTGTTCCGCACAGGCTGTATTTGTTGATGCGGACTCTAATAAAACGGCCCGTCCTTCTACTAATGAGTGCAAAACAATCTTATTGCTTACATTCGTCCTAGAATTTGCATATGCAAAGATACGAAATCCAGAAATAGCGCTCAAGAGAACAGTCTGTAGAAATCTTGTCTAACAACTCTAAATTTTCAATCAGAATTGAATCAGAATTATAGCCATAGTTCTCTGAATTATTCATGATAAATAGATGACTGGCTACCCATGGGACTCTGATACAGCACTTTTGATGTGGTAAAATAATTAGAATTGTCATATCCACTCTTTGTAAAATTATGAGAGCTGTTATTTATTAATAGCAAATGTCATAACGTAATCCAACTGTCATTTTCATATCTAATTAAAGAAAAAATGTTCTGATTCTGAGACTTCTTTGTTTACCAGCTGGAAGCAAGCAATGTAAAAATCATTTATTTCCTGTGAAATAATTCACAGGAAATTATTAATTGCCAGATGATCCCCAATATGCCATGGTTACAGAGAGCATGGTCATCTCCAAGGGTAGCTGCCCTTGGAGATGAATTCCTCAGGGAATGCCTTTGAAGCATCATTTATTTTCCTTAGGAAAAAAGTGGGCGATATCATAAGTAAACATGCACTTTTTGGTTTTCCAGACACCTGGAAATGTATGAGCTAATGAAAAGCAATCAGAAATGAAAATACAGTCCATTGAATCAGATAAAAAACAAACTCAGCAGACTGCTTCTTGTTGCTATTATTCCATTCATAAGAAAATGTCATCTTCTTAAAATCAATTGATTTTCTGAAGCAAATTCCTAGATATAAAAAGGACCCTGGGATTTATGTAGGGCATTACCCCATTTAGTGAAAAATTCACCTATTTCTTTCCTCCATGAGTGTGTTATTTTAGATCGACTATGTATCAAGGAAGCTATTGTCTGATTATAATAAAGAGAAAAGAATCTTGAACCTGGTAAGGATAGTCTCAAGCCAAAACAGATAATTTCTACAGAACACAATAAATACTGTTTGGCTCTGTGTGGTGATATTGCCTCCCAGACATTTTAAGACTTAACACCTAAAGAATGGGTTTATTTTAAATTAATAAATGAAAAGAATGAGATCTTCTGTCTTTGTTAATGTCAAACTTTCCTGGCCTTTTTTCTAATCATCTTATCAGTACTTCATTGTTGTTTTTTTTTCCTATTCCTTTGAATTTACTTTTTGAATCCTTTTGGCATTTACTCAAGGCCTCTCTTTTGCCTTTTGTTACGGTGTGTTCTCTCTCTAGGCCACCTCAACCACTCTCATCACCTCACCCATCTGGAATGATTTGGAAACCTGCATTGAGTCCCTACATTTTCTTGTGGTCCAGAGTGATAACAACAGACTGGGCATAGTGGTCACACCTGTAATCCCAGCACTTCGGGAGGCCGAGGTGCATGGATCACCTGAGATCGGGAATTTGAGACCAGCCTGGCCAACATGGCAAAACCCCATCTCTACTAAAAATATAAAAATTAGCCAGGTGTGATGGCTCATACCTGTAATCCCGACTACCTGGGAGGCTGAGGTAGGAGGATTGCTTGAACCCAGATGGCAGAGGTTGCAATGAGCCGAGATCATGCCACTGCACTCCAGCTTGGGCAACAGAATAAGATTCCATCTAAAAGAAAACAACACACACACACACACACACACACACACACACACACACACACACACGTGATAACAACAGTAATGGCAACACTCCTTGTATACTTACTGTGTGCTGGGCACTGGGTTAACAAATGAACATGTATTATCTCATTTAATTCTTACAATCACCTGTGAGGTAGATGCCATTATCATATTCATTTTGCAGGAGAAGAAACTAAAGTTGAGTGATATCACACAGTTCTCCTAGAGTCATACAGATAAAAAACAACTAAGCTGGGTTTTAAACCCTGACAGTTTGACTCCAAAGTGAGTGCTTTTGTTTTTTTTTTTTTTTTTTTTTTTTTGCAGCTACCTGGTAAGCATCTCCCCTTGAATCTCCTATAGACCTCTTAAAGCCACTCTATATAAAACACATTTCCAAATATTCCTGCTTTCCTTTTGGTGATTAATTCATGTATTCAACCAAGAAGAATTCATCAAGCATCATGGAGAGTCAGATAGAAGCCTATGTACTAAGGATAAAATGTTGAACAAAATAATAGTGATTCCTGCATTTATAGAGTTTACTTTACACAGAAGGGAGACTCTCATTAATCACATTATTTTGCAAATAGACAATTATTCCAAGCTGGAACAAGTGCGCAGATGGGAAAGTACAATATGCTGTGGGAGCATGTAATAGAAGGCCTGCCTTGTTTGAGCATGGGAACATGTAATAGAAGACTTGCCTTGTTTGAGCGGAAGATGGGGAGGGGGGATGAAAGAAGGGCTTCCCCTATAAATTTCTAATTAAGTTGGGATCAAAAAGATGAATAGATGAGTAGTGGTTAACTGGGCAGGGGACAACTTCCAGGCAGCAATTCCAACACTTGTAAAGGGCCTGAGATGGGAGGGAGCTTAGCTCATTAGAGAGACTAAAAAAAAAAAAAAAAAAAAAAAGATTGGTGTATCTGGAACAGTGGTTAAAGTTACAAGGGCAGACTAGACAAGCAAGAACAAGACCATGTAGGGCCGTCTAAGATGTATTAAGTATTTTCCTCTTATTCTAAGATGAATAAAAAGCCCTTAGGGAGGTTTAATTATTGTAGTAAAAGAATAAAATTTATGTTTTGAAGATGTGATTCTGGCTGCTGTTGGGAGGCTAGTTTGGAGGGGGAAGAGGAGATTCAGGGAATCTAGTGAGGAGGATATTTCAGTGTTCTAGGTGAGAGATTATGGTCTTAAATCTCA